GCCCCCCCCCCCTCCTCCCGCACCAGCCTCTTCTTGTCATCCAAAGGCTTGGCCAGCGCCCGGATAACTCGGGCCTTGTACGGGAGCAGCTGCGGGACAGAAAGAGCTCTGGGTGAGAGCGCTGGATGCTGGCTGCCCCCAGGAGGTTTGGGAGCCCCTGGTCCCCCTCCATGCACGGGCAGGCAGCGGGCCGCTGTGGGAGCACTTACCACCGGGGTGGGCAGGCTGGTGAGGGCGTGGGCACAGCGCAGGGCGGCGATGCGAACAGCCTAGGACAGACAGACAGACAGGGGTGAGGGCAGGGGCGCAGGAGAGGGGTGAGGGTAGGGAGGGCACACACACACCATGGTGGGGCTGGAGGTGAGGCCGAGGAACTTGGTGACCAGCGTGTCCACGTGCAGGCTCATTATCTTGGGAGCTTCGAGCAGCAGCGGCTGGAGGCAGCTCAGTGCAGAGAGCTGCAGCAGGACAAGGCCTCGAGCAGGAGGGGAAGCAGCTGCGGGTGGGGAGGCCGCAGGAGACGCGAGTCACTCCCAGCCGTGCATGCTGCACTGCCACAGTCCCCCCACCACGGCCAGCTCTCACCGTGGGCAGCTCCGTCACCAGCACAGGCTTGGGGAGGTGATTGAGCACATGGGACAGGCCCTTCAGGTAATTGGCTTTCACGTCTGCGGAGAGCAGAGACGGTTACAGGCAGCCAGGGGAAGGAGGGGACGCTGGCTCTAGTCCCCTGGGTAAGGGGGGGTCACAGGGTGGCCACTCACCGGGGCCAGCCCCGTGGAAGCCCTGCACCAGCTTGGGGACGTTGTCGGTGAAGAAGCGCTGGCGGAACATGATGCGCACGTCGGCGTGGCAGCCCTTGTGCAGCACGTCTGGGGACTCGGCCATGAGCAGGGAGAAGCCGTCGGCTGCGGCGGGGCCCAGCTCGGTGTCGCTCAGCAGGCCCAGGAGCTGCGTGGGAGAGAGCCCTGAGCTGGGCACCCTGCTGCGGGGGCTTCCCAGCTGGGAGCGGGGGGAGCGGGCGCGGTGCCAC